GACTTTGGGCCTCTACTTAAATCTTACCTCAATACAAGAATGTTTTGTTCTAAAAATGTGGCATTCTATGATACTCACGTGCCAGCACAATCACAGAAGACAAAATGGGTACATAAGCAAATGTGGTGAAGAAAGCTAATTGTGCCTGGCTATTAAATATAGCATCTGAGGGTTTGAAGGCTTGAAATTAAACAAGCAGCCATCTAGCAGGGAAGAAACAACGCCTGCATGGAAGAAGCACACCAGCCTGTGTGATCAAGAAGTGTTGACAGGAATAGGTATCAGAAGTTCAAAACAAGCAATCAAATTGACATGAAGGAGCGTTGATAAAGTGGATCCAAAACCCACCTGTAAGATAATTGGACAGTCCCACACAAAAGGGCCACATGGAAGGGATATCTGCAGGGTGCAGTATACCACTGATGAAACATATAAATATCCTCTAGTTCTTTAATATTTCCTCCCCTTACTAATATGGTCTTAGTTTCACCTCATGAATCTTGTGAGACTTGTGCATGTTCATTTGTATAATTAAGGTCATTCAGTGAATGAAATCCAAGATAAACCCTACAGAAATAGTTATGGGAGTAATGATTCCCTGAGGGTATAGGAAGAGAGGGGGGAGAGGGGAAGAAGGGGGAACCGATAGCAATGATATCTGTATAACCCCACTCAAGGGGAACACATAACAGAATTGTAAGTGAATAGTGTAAGATACAAAAATAATAATAATTTATATTTATATATATATATATATAAACATAATAATAAAGGTTCCTGGAGGCAGGGTGGGGAAGGGAAGTGATAAAGGGGAGCTGATGTCAAAGAGTCCAAAAAGAAAGAAAATGTTTTGAAACTGATGGTGGCAGCAACTGTACAATTACGCTTAATCTTACTGAATCATGGATTGTTATAATAGCTGTAAGAGCCCCCAATAAAATGATTTAAATAAATCAAGAAAAAAATGTGTTGGTTAAGTCCAATAAAATATAGTGTAATTAAGAATGGAGGGAGAGACAGTCAACATCACCATGTCAAAGGTTTCCTTTAAAATCACCCTGATGTCAGACCCGCGGCTGCCCTACAAAGTATTCAGTGTTCCTGAAAGCACCCCTTTTACAGCAGTCTTAAAGTTTGCAGCAGAGGAATTTAAAGTGCCTGCAGCAACGAGTGCCAATATTACCAATGATGGAATAGGAATAAATCCTACACAGACTGCTGGAAATGTCTTTCTAAAGCATGGCTCAGAACTGCGAATCATTGCTAGAGATCGAGTTGGAAGTTGTTAATAGCAGCTTTGAAAATTCCTCTTGTGAGAATCCAAAGAACGGCTTGGGGTGGATTTTTTTCACTTATCGAGAAAATGAGTATCTATGCAAATCTTCAAAGCTGGCATGAAAGCACACAATGATTCACAACCAATTTTGTTTGATAATAGATGGTGAGGCATTTCTATCTTGTTCTAGGTAGAACTAGGAGGATAGTAGGCTGTCAGTGAATATACTAAATTATTCATGAATGAAGTATAAAAGAAATATGTTCTCTGTCATAGGCCCTCAGCTCCTTGGGGGGCAAATATCTGTAAGAAAATGCAAAGGGATCAGCATAAACATGGTGGTATTGTACTTGAACCAGATACTGTTCCCAAGTTTGACACAAAAGGAATCTCGGTTCTCGCTAAAAATGGTTGCTGTGCTAATTGCATTTCTCTTGTCTGGGCAAGTTTTTACATGTATAAAAATACAGAATTTTTATTTTAAGGCTCTGTAAGTTTTATAATAATATGCTTTTATTTAACCAGAGATTTATTGACAGCCATGCCTGTATTTTAATTTAGATATTTTTTCCCACTTCATTTTGTCTGTAGTAAAAAAAAAAAATCTGCCTGCATTTGTTAACACCTGTGGGGTCCTGTGCCTTAAGTTAACTTAATATTTTCTTGTTGATCTTGAAATTTTATTGTAGCAAATTTTTAAATATGTTTTAAATATTTAGCTATTAAATAATTACAGTCTATAAGTTCTTATTTTATATTAATTGTGTTTAGAAGTATTTAATTGAAATGCATTGGTTTTGCATAATTAACATCTTATGCAAATACATACTTAATACGGAAACCTATATTATCTACTCTTACTATATTAATGGGAATCTCAATAGGCACACCTTTTATGTCAATGTATGAGTAATGTAGCAAAAATGTTCTGCAAATGCTTAATGACTATTACAGAAAAGAGTATTCTTCTATGCTAATAAGAATTGATGATAAGGTCAACCTCTTTGCAGATGGAAAACTAATGAAAAAGGGTGTAAGGGGGCAAAATGAGAGTTCGAAAAGTTCATGGAAAAAAGGAATTAAAATACAGTGGAATTTTTCCACAAACTTCTTGTAGTCCCCTTGTAACTACAATAGAGTACAGAATTATGAACTGTGTATATTCCACTGTTTGTGTCTCCACTAACTTGTCTAAATACAAAGATTCTAGTTAATGGTCCCCCTTAACAAACTGGTGTTAAATGGTCTCCTTTAAAGTTTGTGTTAAAGAATAGTAAAACACAAATTAAAAAAAAGAATCGAGGGAGAGTACTTGTTTTCTGTTTTGGATTCTATTGTGCAAAAATACATATAACAGAAATTTCCCATCTAAGTGTATATTTTAAGCATACAATTCAGTTATATTAATTAAATATCAGGAGATTTAGAGAAACCCCGGTAGGATAGTGATTACAGGTTGAGCTGCTAACTGTTCAAAACCAATAGCCAAGCAGTGAGAGAAAGATGAGGCTTTCTACTCCCATAAAGAGTTATAATCTTATAAATCTATAGGGATAATTCTACCATGTCCTACAGGGTCACTATGAGTCAGAAATGATTCAATAGCAGTGAGATAAGGAGCCCTGGTAATGTTGTTGCATAAGCAATGAACTGCTAACCACAAGGTCATTGGTTCAAACCCACCAGTCACTCAGTGGGTGAAAGATAGGGCTCTCTACTCCTGTAGATTTACAGCTGAGAATCCCTATACAGAGTCACAATGAGGTTTGGGGGGCGGTGTGCAATTATTTCAGTATCTATTTCCAAAAGTTCTCACTACCCCAAACAGAAATTCAATAATACTTAAACAGTAATTCTCCATGTTCCTTTCCCCCACCTGTTAATAAGCACTAGTACAATTTATCTCTGCATTTACCTACTCCAGACATTTCATTTAAGTGGGATTATACAATATCTGTCTTTTTTGTCTGACTTATTTCACTCAGCATAATGTTTCCAAGGTTCATTATATTACTGAATAATATCATATTACATACATGTAACATTTTTGTTTATCCATATGTTGATTGACACATGAATTATTTCCAACCTTTGTAGAGTGCTTTAATAAACATTAGGAGTAAAAGTGTCTGTTTGAATCACTACATATAGAAAATTCTTTATTTCCCTTTTTAAGGAATTGCCAGTTTTCCACAGTGGATGGACCAGTTTACATTTCAACCAATAAGGCATAAGGATTCCAATTTGTACACATCCAATTTGAGTGATTTGTTTAAAGAAATTGTTTCGTTACCTGGCTATTTTTGTAAGGGGTGCAGTATTTTTACCTATTCACATATTTTGTTGGTTTCTTAGTTGCAATGATAAATATACATTTAGCAAAACATTTGCCATTCTAACATACATCACAAATACAATTCAATGAAATTGTGTTCAAAATGCTGTGCAACCAGCTCTGTAATTTGTTTCCAATGTCGTCCATTTCCTATAACAGAAGAAGCTAAGGAATACGTTCTCCTTCTCTCACCCTCTCCTGCCACTGTACCACTAATAAATGTAATCATATATACACAGCCCATGCCAATTTATTATCATTCTCAGATTATCGTGAGAAATTCAGTAAGACTTATTTTATCATAAATGCAAAAATATGTATGCACTGAAAACATACATAAAAAAGCATACCCTTGGTTTTCTTCCTAATCATTAATAAAAGAATAAACATAAAGTTAAATATTACATGGTAAAATTCATGAAAAATTGGCAAAAGTTCCAAAGCATTGAAATGTTCAATAAACTTTTAAATTCTTGGTCATAATGTGCCTAAGAAACGTATAGAAGTATACTTTTAGAATAGAGTTTGGTTTTGTTTGCTTGGTTTGGTTTTTAGCATTGTCTTACTCATTTAGTTATCTAGGGCTGCTACAACAGAAAAAGCCAAGTGAGTGGCTTTAACAAACACGAAGTATTCTCTCATAGTCCAGGACAGGAGGAAGTCCAAATACAGGGTATTGGTTCTAGTGGTTGGCTCTGGGGGAAGGAGGACGTGCTTGTCATCCTTTCAACATTTGTGGGACTAGCATTCTTTGAAGATCATCTATTTTCCTTTGTTTCCAGGAGGTTCTCAGCAAACAGACTCCAAGCCTGAAAGATATGCTATACTCCTGGTTGCTCTTATTTGGTAGTAATCGTATCCCTCTACTCATATTTCTTCAAAAAAATGGAAAAACTGATTACCAACTTCATATGGAGAGGGAAGAAGCCTAGAATTAGCAGAGAACTCATCAAGAAGAAGGACACAGTGGGAGGGCTTATTCTACCTGATTTTATCACATTCTATACAGCCACAGTTGTCAAAACTGCATGGTATTGGTACAATGACAGATACTCAGCCCAATGGAAAAGAACTGAAAACCCAGAAATAAAATAATCAGCATACAGACAACTGATCTTTGATAAGGGGTCAAAAAATATCCAATGGGAAGCAGATGCCCTTTTTAACAAATGGTGCTGAAAAAAATGGATGCTTACCTGCAGAAAAATGAAGCAAGACCCTTATTTCACTCCATGCACAAGAATAAACTCAATGTGGATCACAGACCTTGAAGTTAAACACCAAACTATTAGCGCCATTAATGAGGGAATTGGGACCAACTTGAGAACTTTGGCACAGGGAATACATAGGCTATCAGAAATAGGGAAGGACACAAACACAGAGGAGGCACAAATTGACAAATGGAATATACTAAAGATAAAACACCTGAGTACATTGAAAGAATTCACCAAGAGAGTAATAAGAGAGTCCACGAACTGGGAAAACATCTTTAGCAATGACACATCAGACAAAGGCCTTATTACTAAAATCTACTATACTCTGCTAGCTTTCAATAAGAAAAAAACGAATTGCCCACTGACGACATGGGCAAATGACCTGAAGAGAAGTGTCACAGAGGCAGAAATCCAAATGGCCAACAAACATATGAGAAAATGTTCCTGATCTTTAGCCATAAGAGAAATGCAAATTAAAACAACAATGAGGTACCACCTAACACCCTCAAAGATAGCCCAATTCAAAAAATCAGAAAGCAACAAGTGTTGGAGGGGCTGTGAGGAGACAGGAACTCTCATCCACTGCTGGTGGACCTGTAAATATGTACAGCCACTATGGAAATTGATCTGGCGATACCTAAAACAGATGGAAATTGAATTACCATAAGACCCATTCATCCCCCCTACTGGCCATATACCCAGAAGAAGCAAGAAACAAACCAAGGCCAGACATCTGTGCTCCGATGTTCATTGTAGCACAGTCCACAATTGCAAGGAGTTGGAAACAACCCAAATTTCCATCAACTGACAAGTGGATCAAAAAGTTGTGGTATACATACATACAATGTGGTACATACATCGCTAAAAAGCAGTGATGAACGTATGAAGCACATCACTACATGGGAAGAACTGGAGGAAATCATGCTAAGTGAAGTAAGCCAAGTACAAAAGGACAAGTACAACATGAGTCCGCTGAGGTAAGTGTTAAAAAATAATGTAAAAGGGGCATAGGGAAAAAGCTACTGTATACAAACATTCCTGGGGTGAGGAACAAGCTTTTCTTTCTTGTTGTGTTGTGTTTTGTTTTTTGTCATTGGGTTGTTGTTGTTGATGTTTTGTTGTACATTGTTGCTTGGTTTTGCTCTGTTTTATTTTTGTGCATGTTATTATCTCCACAGGTCTGTCTAAATAAGATAGGCTAGATGAACAATCTGGAGGAGAAAACAATGAGACCGACAGTTCCAGGGGGACATGGGAGAAGGGGAGGTTGGGGGAAAGGTAGTGGTGTTAACAAACCCAGGAACAAGGGAACAAGTGACCCAAATCGTTGATGAGGAGGGCATAGGAGGCCTGGTAGGGTGTGATCAAGGGTAATTTAACCAAGAGGAATTACTGACACCCAAATGAAGACTGAGCATGATAGTGGGACAAGAGGAAAGTCAAAGGAAATAGAGGAAAGAGCTA